GTGGGGCACACGGGGAGGGACGGGGCCAGGGGGTCTCTTGGCAACCAGGAGGCAGCTCCGTGTCCTTACCCGTGACATGGGTGCCTCCCTCAGGAGGCTCTGATTGGTAACCAGGCAGCATGGGGCCTGGACCCAGACAGAGCCCAGCTCAGGGTCCCTCTGCGTCTGCCCCCCTCAGACTGTGGGTACTGGGCCCAGGGCTGTGTCTGGTGCAGGGAAGGCAGAGGGGGTGAACCATTGAGAGAGCCCAGAGCAGACTGGTTGAGTGGAGGCTGCCGGTCCACAGAAGGCTCTGGGGTTTGGTGGGGGGCTAGAGGGCCCTGAGGACAGAGATCCTTCCCATGAAACATTGAGGAGATGAGGGGGAGATTAGGAAGGCTGCGCCCTCGTGGGGCGGGGTGGCTGCCCTGAGCTTCAGTCTCCAAGACCAGGCAAGGGCCAGCTGGCATCCAGGGCTGGGCTGCCCAGGGTCACGGGAGCAGGCCACCCTCAGGGAGCTGTGTCCAGCAGAGGCATGCCCTCCGCCGGCCGCCCCGACCCGCCTTCCCTGTGCCCAGGAGGACAGCAGGAGCGAGGGCCCCGCGGAGCAGGCGGCCTGGCGGTACTCGCAGACGCACCAGGCCATCCTGGGCCCGTTCGGGGAGCTGCTGACGGAGGACGACCTGGTTTACCTGGAGAAGCAGATCGCCGACCTGCAGTTGCGGAGACGCTGCCAGGAGTACGAGAGCCAGCTGGGCCAGCTGGCGGCCGAGCTGCAGGCCCTGCTGCCCGAGCCCCTGGTCAGCATCACTGTCAACAGCCACTTCCTGCCCCGGGCTCCCGGGTTGGAAGGTGAGGAGGTGCCCGGCCCAGTGCCCGAGCCCAAGGGCTCCGAGGGGGCTGTAGAGGCCGTGCCCGGTGGGCAACCCCTGCCCTTCTGGTGCAGCCACGTGGCCCGGCTTGTCCGAAGCATGTCGCTGCTGCTGAAGGGCATGAACGGGCTGGTGCAGGGCGAGGAGAAGCCAGCTGCCCAGCCCCCGCAGGAGGTGGGCAGGGAGGCCCCAGCCAGCCCCGCACAGAGCGAGGCCCAGCGGGAGATCCAGGAGTGTGGGGTGTCCGTGCGGACGCTACGTGGCAACTTCGAGTCAGCCCCTGGCCTGCCCTGCGTCCCAAACCTGGGGTCCTGTGAGGCGGGGGCCCAGCCCGGGCAGTGCCCACGAGGTTGCTGGCCAGTGCCCCCGCAGCCCCGGGGCGGCCTGATGGGAGGGGAGCCGGGGCCGGGTGACACAGAGGAGGCCAGTGACTCGGGCATCAGCTGCGAGGAAGCCCCGTCGGAGGCCGGCGCGGGACACGGCCCCGACCTGGCGAGTCTGCGGAAGGAGCGCATTGTCATGCTGTTTCTCAGCCACTGGAAGAGGTCGGCCTACACGCCGGCCCTCAGGACAGCCGCCTGCAGGAC